CCGAGCACCAGAGATTCCCGAAGGAAAACATCACTGTACCATATCGTTACTCTTGATGGCGCAGCACGATCTTCCCACAATGGATACCGAAAAGACGGAGAAGAAATCCGTTGACACTCAGACGCCCGATACGGATTCTTCCACCGTTGGGCCAGAATCAGACCAAGATGTTGAAGCAGGGCCCGACAATCGCGAACTCAATGCCGACGAGAAGGATCCGAATGTTGTGGACTGGGACGGGCCAGACGACCAAGAGAACCCGATGAACTGGTCCGATACGAAGAAATGGTTGAATGTTAGTATCCTGTCTATAATGACCATCGTAACGTGAGCTACCCTTGACATACTCTATATTTCAGTATTCTTCCCCATGCTAACTCATGTCAGGCCGTTGGGCTCTTCAATGTTTGCCCCTGGTATTCCCGGCATTATGATAGAGTTCCAAGAGAAATCATCTACCGTGGCCACCTTCTTGGTCTCGGTATATATCCTAGGATTTGCTTTCGGCCCGCTCCTCATAGCGCCGCTAAGTGAGATCCTCGGTCGCCGACCCCTATACATCTTCGGCAACGTGCTTTTCGTCTGCTTCTCTGTCGGCGCTGCTCTTTCAAAGAGTATCGGGATGCTGATGGCGTTCCGTTTACTCATGGGGTTGGCGGGATCGGTCCCTATTACCATCGGAAGCGGTAGTATTGCGGACGTAATGCCAGTCGAGAAGCGCGGCAGGGCTATGTCCGCGTGGGCTTTAGGCCCCCTCCTCGGTCCTTGCGTCGGTCCCATCGCTGGAGGTTACTTGATCCAAGCTGCTGGATGGAGATGGGTGTACTGGTTGATTGTCATTCTGGTATATTAACTCACTTTCAGGCACTACTTATCCTGAACGTATGAGCTAACATCAATGCAGGGTGGAGCCCTAATCCCTATTTCTTTCTTCTTCCTCCGGGAGACCTTCGCCCCTGTACTTCTCGAGCGCAAGACTGAGAAGCTCCGCAAGGAGACCGGCAATCCGAGCTTACACAGCAAGCTTGGAGGACGATTAACTCCTAAGGAGCAGTTCAAGCTCGCCATTATCCGCCCGATGAAGCTCCTCCTCGTCACACCCATCGTCACTCTCATGGCGCTGTACGTGGCCATTACCTACGGCATTCTTTACTTACTGATTACGACTTTCTCGTTCGTGTATACGGGTCAGTACGGCTTCAGCGAAGGCGACAGCGGTTTGACGTTCCTGCCTGCCGGTCTGGGCATGATGATCGGCGTTGTGGGTTTCGGACAGCTTACCGACATAATGGTGAAGCGGAACCAGGCAAAAGGAATCACGCATAAGCCCGAGGTTCGCCTCGCGCCTACGCTCACGATACCCAGTGGTATTGCTCTGCCCATTGGCCTGTTCATCTACGGGTGGACTACCAACTTTGGCGTGCACTGGATCGTGCCCATGGTCGGCGTTCTCATCTTCAGCGCAGGACTCATGGGCGTTATGGTGAGTCATCGCACTAGGTTTCTCAGTTGATACCGTATGGGATAAGCTAACTCGCTTCACAGTTCTGCGTCCAGAATTACCTGCTCGACACGTACCCGCGTTACGCGGCGTCCGTGACGGCTGCTATGACCGTCCTCCGATCCCTCCTCGGCGCACTGCTTCCCCTCGGCGGTCTGGACATGTATAACGCCCTGGGTCTCGGATGGGGTAACAGCTTGCTCGCATTCATCGCGCTGGCGCTCATCCCGATACCGGTCGTTTTCTTCATATTCGGAGAACGTATCCGCAGGAAGTTTAACCCTAAATTATAATGATATCTAGAATAATTGTTACGAGTTGGACGCTCCGCGATGGCTCAGCTGTATATAGATATAGACTACAGATACCCCTATATAATGTGTGTATATAATAGATTGAACAATACTGCAACTAGATAGTAGCGGTTGGCTATATTTAGTCTGCTCTATCTTCAATAAATCTCATTGTAGGTAGGTACATATATGCAGGTCACGATTTGAAACCCTTCTAGGCTGGTGATTTTGTTATGGTCGAAGGTCCGAGGTGAGAGGTTATACATCATGCGCTAAAAGTAACCTACATCCGCGGCTTTGCTGACTGAGCGGGGAATCCCGATGCCTTCGGGGACGGTCTTGGCCAGCCCGGGGCCGGGATGCAGGTGAGATTTCCTTAGGTTTTGTTACTAGTTGGGTGATTTGATTCTGTAATCCCTCGCAGGCAATCTCCAGCGGGTAGGTAATTGCCTTCAGTTGTTTTAGTGGTCTACATACTATAGTAGGCGATGGAAGAATCCAATCGGCAAGTTATTGCCGTGTTAAACCCCTCGTATTGGAGTCTTGAACGTTCGCGAAAGTACTACGTCATTAGCGTCGGGACGTCGCTGTATTAACCATTCGGCTTTGAGTCCCATAGAAAAAAGGACTATGATGTAACGATATATCTGGTGCTGGAGTGACGCCACTAATGGCATTTACTTTAGCCATGGCCTCGAACTTAATTCATGTTTTTGGTTTCTGGGCAATTTTTTAGAGGGCAATAATGTCGATACTCGAAGAAAAGGACGATTCCGAGCACTCGCACAGCGGGTCTTCCGGGGAACCCATTCCAGACGCGGATTCCCCCGCAACGGCCCCTAACTGGGGACCGTCTAGTTGCGAATGCCCTCAGACGGAGAAATATCACGACGGACACCGGCCATGCACGCTCGACCAACGCCTGTCTCAGACTCGCACGAGCGGCCGGGATCTTCCGAACGGCTCTCTCTCGCGGACGGTCTCTCGACGAGACACCGTACTGTCGCGGGTACGCTCTAGGCCCGCAGTACCGCCGTTCACCCACCCGCTTGCAAAGGTGAAGACCGGCCAAGAATGCCTCGTTGACTTCGACGGGCCGGACGACCCCTATCGGCCTGTGAATTGGCCTCGTCACAAAAAGGTACTCACGACGCTTCTCTATGGTCTAGTCACCATGACTGCCACTTGGGCTTCGTCTTCCTATTCCGCAGGGACGACGCAGATCGCGGAGGAGTTCGGCGTGGGCACGCAAGTAGCGACGCTAGGCACTACGCTCTTCCTTCTCGGATTCGGCATAGGCCCGCTCCTCTGGGCGCCGCTTTCGGAAGTTTATGGGCGACGCGTCGCGGTTCTGACGCCCATGTTCGTGTCCATATGCTTTTCGTTCGGGTCTGCAACTGCCAAGGACTTCCAGACGCTCATGCTGACACGGTTCTGGGGAGCTATCTTCGCCTCCGCACCTGTGACCAATACCGGCGGCGTCCTAGGTGACCTCTTCACGCCCGCGTATCGTGGCATCGCAATGGCCGGGTATGCGATGGCGGTTGTCGGCGGCCCGACGGTAGGTCCCATCGTCTCTGCTGCGTGTGTGGCGCGACCAGATCTTGGTTGGCGTTGGACTGAGTATACGACCGGGATAATACAGTGCGTTATTCTAACATTGGCCGTCATTTTCATTGACGAGACATATCCTCCCAGCCTCCTTGTTGTCAAGGCGCGGCGGCTACGGTTCGAGACGGGTAACTGGGCCTTGCATGCCAAGTTCGAGGAATGGGATGTCAGCATAATAGAACTCGCTAGGAAGTTCCTTATTCGTCCTATGCAGTTGCTCTGCACGCCCATATGCTTCCTCATCGCGCTGTACGCAAGTTTCTGCTACGGAATCCTCTACATGCAGCTTGGAGCGGTCCCTATCATTTTCGGAGAGATTAGGGGTTGGGGCATCGTGGCGAGTGAATTGCCCTTCCTGGCCATCTGCCTCGGGTCCCTGACTGGCGCGGGCATCAATATGTCCAACCAGCTCTACTACAACAAGGCGTATCACGCAGTGGGAGATCGACCCGTCCCCGAGAAGAGGCTTCCGCCAATGATGCTTGGATCTGTGCTGTTCGCCACGGGGCAGTTTATTACCGGCTGGACGGCAAACCCCGACGTGCACTGGATCGTGCCTGTCATCGGTCTCTACCTTACCGGTTGCGGCTTCAACACCATCTTCCAGGCCGCGCTTAATTACCTTGTCGATACCTTTCAGATGTACGCAGCGAGCGCCGTCGCCGCCAACACGTTCCTGCGGAGTTGTTTCGCTGCGGCGTTCCCGCTCGTCGTCACACCCATGTACCACAACATCGGCGTCGGCCCTGGCTCGAGCATCTTCGCTGGCTTCGCCTGTTTGCTGATACCCGTGCCGTACGTGTTTTACTTCTTCGGGAGGAGGATCAGAGCCGCCAATAAATGGAGCAAGAACAGCGTTTTTTGAGATATTCCTAAGTTTTGCATGGCATCGGCGTTTGGGGATGGGCGTTGAAAAAAGAATGAGCATGCCGCATTATTAATTGGTGCATATTTAATGAGTAATTGATACGAGAGGCATTATACATACATGTACTTCTTGCCTGATACATAGCGACTTGACATTCTATAGTCATCGACTTGATATTCTATAGTCATCCCATATCTACAATAAGTCCAGTGCTCCTTGAAGGAGCAACTGATTCTTCCAGACTGGGGGGCGGCTTGGTTCGGAGTACATCTGACGTGCCGGCTACAAGCCTTTTCTTATTGTATTAGGCACTAGGGCGATGAGGCGCTAGAAAATGGATGCTAGTAAAGTTTCGATATATGCCGCCATTTATTGATATCATCTGCCGGTAGCCGTTCACACATCCTGCAGGCTCTAGGGGTTCTTGTAGGATCGTCGATTTGAAACAACGAAAACGGCGAGTCTTCTTGCAGAGCACAATATCAGGCAGCCTTCCAGCGAAAAAGGAAATCTGGGCGTGTCGCTTGTGCGACAGTGAGCTGGTTGTGATTCCAACCTGGCCAGCGGCTGGTACTAAGCTTACGACAGTGTGAATGGGAGCCGTAGGAGCCGGCTTTCCCGTGACTGTCCATCCATGCTCTAGAATGCCACAAAAGGCAAAAAGGAAAAAACATGGAAAAAGAGAATGGTTCGAAGTGTTCCTATGATAAGAACGCATCAGGAATTGAGCCCGATGCGGGGGTCGAACCCGCAACCTTGAGATTAAGAGTCTCACGCCTATTAAACTGTTAGTTAGATCTTGTATGAGAGGTTTGTGTGAACGAGTTCAACTTACTCTACCGATTGAGCTAACCGGGCTGTGATGATGGTTGGTCAGTTTTGATGTCCTATATTGATAGTGCGACGGAGGTCCGAAGTTGTGCCGGTCGGTCTTGTTCTTCCTACTGGTTGAATCGAATCCAAAAGCGGGTATCTGAGTGCCCGCTATCGCAAATGCATTCATTCTACGTTGCCGATTTCGTGGCTTAGGGTGGCATCCAGACATGACGATATTTGAGGGATTGTCTCTGTCATCATATGTCGTGGCCATTCCCTAGTGGTAAAGTTAGGTACTGGATGGCTGAGGGTGTTACTTTCACACATAGACAAGGACTGATATGCTAGCTAAGTCACTATTTCGTGTCCTTCCATGAACTGCCCTATAGTCTCTTGCACCCTTTTTACATTTTATTTTACGGTCTAAGGTATCTTTTGAAGCATGCATGAGCTAGAATCTGGCTGGTATTTCGTGGGCTTTCATGGCTGGTATTTCGTGGGCATGAAAGCCTTCCGCAAATCCCCGAGAAAATGCGTTGAACGGTATTACCTTTCTAGCTACGACAAAATGGTCCGTAAGACAAAAGCTGAACATTTGCCGGCGACTTCCACGTTGATCGCCTTACCTAGGTACATCAGAGACCCCTGTCTGGCCTAGTCGAATATTGCGATTTACCGGACGGCCAAGGCTGGTCCTGAAGCTTACATGTAGGTACGGAATTAGTTTGTCAGGCAGTCAGGTGCTCTTGAAAGTTCAAAAGAATACCGTGCCTATTGCCAAGCTTAAACAGTCGCTGAAGCTGACCACTCAGGACTCAGTTTACATCTATTTACATCCGTGGCCAATGGGAGTTCAGTCAACCCTAAAGTACGGGTACATACTGCTTCATGTCGTACCTGACGCTAGGCTAATTTTTGCATGTGTCACAGTCGGAGTTTAGGGGATACCATGCGATTGCGTTAGTCGACGCCGCTGCACTTTGATATTTCATTCGTCATCCCTTCAATTGCGTATATGATTTTTCCTCGTCACATAAGATTGTTGCCTTGATTTCACGCCGTATCTTCTTGACTATGGCCTCTTGAGGACCCTGATATTATTAGAGAGATTAACAACTTGATTGACCACGATTCTAGCCTCGACGGCTTACCCTTACTGTACGGAGAGGACAGTTCCACTGATGTGCAACATGGATTGCACAGTATTGACAATCAATCGTTTCTGCGCGAAAAGGCCCTGATCTACCGCGCGTACGAACACTGAATTGAATCTGCCAGCGGCATTTAATCCATATACCTTATATAGTAAGACGCCATCAACCAGATAGTGAGATTTTGCAAGATTTAGGCGCTGGATATCCGAAGCCTAAGACATTGAAGTCTATTTAAAGCATCGACGGAGTTTGGGGGCCCTCTAGCGGCACTCGTCCTGTTGCACATACAACGTGCTCGACGTTGTACTTTGTACGGCGAGCTGTTAATCTTTTGAGGCTCAAGCTAATAAAACAATCCAAAGCATCTATCGACCTCTAGTTTCCGGCCAGGGTCAAGGCTTCGTAACAAGACCGGGTTCCTCCAGGGTCTTCCAAGTGTTTACACCGTACACAGAGCCTCTGTCCGTGGTCCGGGCGGGTACTGGCCTTGTCCTCTCACCTTGGACAAACATCTGCATCCATTGGATATTGAATTTTCAACACCGCAACTTAACGCGCGGTATGCTGTGCCTAGACAATAATACGAATTGCGAGACGAAGAGTCTAACGACAGGTAGCAATTGGCCGTTGGCCTTTGAATTTCCCGTTAGCCGCTTGAGGCGCTAGGGCAACATGGCAATCATATTAAACTAACCGCTGCGTTATTAAGATCGATCTTTCTTTATCTGCGGTCTCGAAAAGGGAAAGTCGGGCACGGCGAATTGAGATTGCCTACATACAGCAACACGCACCCCTAAGCGAGCCAGGCACCCCGCAGGAAGTGTGGCTGATCATTTACCGAAAGTGCCCATTGCATGCAAGTGGTACCTGCAGGATGCAGGAGAATGCGCAGCAGGATCCAGACCCTTGGCGAGTTGTGGCCAACTAAAATAATTCACCTTCCAACCCTCCAAGCCTCAGCCAACTGCCCATGCAGCTACGCAATTCCACGAATCCATGGATGCGCTTGCAGGATATCTCGCCCCTACTTTCAGGATCGTGCAACTGCCAGCCTCGCTAGGAGGGATACCTCTCAGGGACACAGGGGAATTGAAATTGCACATGGACGAATATGGATGCGACAGGGCCTAGGACGCGGAATGCTAATCAGTGGCCGACAGGGGTTCGAGATAGCGACCAGCCAGTAAGATCAGCTTACGAAAGCCAGGTGAACCAAAAGAGAACGATTCCAGGGGCACAGCTGGGGAAGCCTTCGGCGCTAGAGCAATGTCTGTCAACTTTCAAGCGCCTGCAGGACGAAGCAGGAGCCACAAAGCTGCCGGTGCTCACAATACCCTTGATCCTTTTGGATGGTCTAATAATGGGTAAAAGACCGATTGCGACGCTATTCAGCGGTAGCCCATGCCGCCATGCCCCTTTCGATCATTCCACCACCCCAGCTCCCACGAATTCTGGTGCTTTCGTTCTTTCTCTGTTGTTGCGCTCTCTCGCTTTCCTGGTCGTCAAACTACCGTTGGCCTGCTCAAGTTTCCCTTCTCAACTGCCAGTGAAACATTACCGTCTCGCCTGGTATACCGAGTCAATAATCTCTTGGCCTGACCTGTAACTCTCCACATTCCGACTAGTCATGAGTGGTTAGACAAGGGAGTAGATCGACCACCATGTCCGTCTCCCAGTTGCCGTACCAAGATCACAAGCACCGGCCCTCCCTCACGGCCAACTCTGAGACTTCCCATGCCTCATCTGATCTTTCTTTCCTTCAGCAGTCCTTTCCTTCCCTTACAGACCAATCGCAGTCCCTAGACTCAGCTGCCGCCGCCCTCCCAGGCTCAAGAAACACGAGGAATCTAGTGATAGACAGTTCTGCCGTCTTGCCGCCCACCAAATCTATTCGAAGGAAGCCATTGTCGTCCACCGCATCACCAATTGCCACCAGGTATTCTTCCGGAGAGTACCTCGCCATTACAAAGGGCTTGACCAGACCAGAGCAACGCTTTTCGCGCTCCTTCTCAGTGGATAGCCCTACCGTGTACGAGTTCCCTCGCCCTCCATTTGGGCTTGGATTGGAGTCGCCGAACGACATCATTTTGATCCAGGGAAACGCGGAGTGAGTCAGGGTCTCATTAATCTGCAATCCAACGCGAACCATCCAAGTTCAGTGTTGCTAACCAGTCTTCGATATTAACCAGAAAAAACCCCGTGGGTCGTCATCCGCTGGCTTCTGCCGAGTCCAACCCGGCTATCATAGCGGGTGAAGTCAAACGTCCAAGTTCTCGGGCTGACAACCCTGACAACCCTGACGCTCCTCAAACACACCACAGCACCGATCTGTCGCAACACCAAGGACAGACGACGTATGACGACCTTTTTAGCGACGTGGAGGAGGATCCGCTGAGTGAGCACATTTTCGACGGATATAATTCAGATTCGTCGGATAATAGTAATTCTAATCATTTTAATACTATGTCGTTGCATGTTACCCGGAAAGCCACACCCCCACAGTTAAATCTCAAGCCGGATGACACAACGCCTACAGCTGACAGCTACGAGGTTAAAACGCCCAATACTGATAAACCATTACCCAAGTCACCGGGTTCCTCGAAACTAGGGACGTTCTTTGGCTGGGCCTCTTCGCCTTCGAACACCGAAGTCTCAGACAAAGGGTTTTCGCCTCTTCCATCACCATTCAACTTCTCAAAGGCAGCCAGTGTTACCGATGCATCCCCAGTCACAACACTCGGACCACAATCACTACTTGATGCCCCGAAGGCGCTTTTTGGATCTCCAAATTCGAGAGACTATTGCGAATCCTACCTGGCAACACCACCCACCGCTACGCTACCGGCGTCTCTCCAAATCGAAGAAATGGAAGACGAGCTAAAGGCCATCTCGGCCGAATTGGCAGCGTCAATTCGTCGCGAGATGGACTTGGAGGATTTAGTTGACAGATTACAAGCAGAGAGAGACAACCCTACGACAACTGGAAATAAGAGGACTAGCGACTACTTCTCAGACTCAGGATACAGCTCGGCCAAGTTGAGCGAATATGACCAATCAAGGGAAGAAATCGAGAAGATTCAGAGGAGATCGGAGCAGGAGAAGGCCCAGATTAGGCTCGAGTTGACCAATAAGCTTCAAGATGAGAGATCCAGAAGACAAGAGCTTGATGGGCAAATCAGGGAGCTCTCAGAAAGGGCGTCCCAAATTGACCTTGCAAGAGTTAACAGTGCTGATACCAGTGGACGTGTCAAGGAGCTGGAGAGTACCTGCGAGACTTTGCGACGGAAGCTTACTGAGGAGCGTCAAGTCAAGGATAACTTCGAGGACTTGCTCACAGCTCTCAAAGGCGAGCTTCAAAATGCTTCCAACGAACGCGACAACCTTCGGGACGAAGTTGTGCCCCAACTACGAGCTCGTGTGGAAGGTCTAGAAGCACAAGCAGCCGAGCTAGAGAAGATGACCTATGAATCGACTAAGATGCAACAAGAACTTCAGACACTCAAAGTCGAAAACACATCGCTAAAGCAGATGCAGTCTAAGTCCATGGGTACCATTTCGGAAGAAGCTGCGCCCGCTAGCTCTCGGTTGTCTCGATCCAATTCTTTGACTGGCCCACCTTCCTCGTTCAAGCTTCAAAGAGCGCCCTCGGGCTTGTCGAGGTCCAAGTCGGTCAAGTCCAGTGAGTCTCGAGACCAACTGTCGGAGAGGCTTAAGGACGTCGAAGAGCAGCGAGATGCTTTGCACAGAGCTCTGAAGAATCTATTAGAGAGGCAAGAGCACCAGAATCGTGAAAACGCGAAGAAGATCCGAGTCCTCGAGATGGAGCGTGACCGACTCTTGACTGAGTCACCGCAGAAGGCTGGCTTCCAGAAAGAAGTATCGAGCCTC